ATTTGCAAAAGGAATTTCACATAAAGGATTGTTATCAAAGATATACAAAAATTTTTTAAACTCAATAATAATACCAGCAAACTGATTTTAAAAATAGTTCAAAGACCTTAACAGACACCTTGCAAAAGAAAACAAATAGCATATTAAAGTATTCTACATTGTATGTTAAGTGCAAATTAAAATAACAATGAGCTATCCTATCTAGACACCTGCTAAAATGACCAAAATCCAGAACACTGACGATACCAAATGCTAGCCAAGAGTAACAGGCTCCCTTATTTTTTGCTAGTGGAAATGTGAAATGTTACAGCCATTTTGAAAGACAGTTTTATGGCCTCTTAAGTAAAAAAAAAAAAAAAAAAAAAAAAAAAAAAAAAAATAGTCTTACCACACAATCCAACAATAATGCTCCTTACTATTTACCCAAAAGAGCTGAAAACATCACACAAAAACTACACATGGATGTTTATGGAAGCTTTATTCATAATTGCCAAAACTTGAGGTAACCAAGATGTCCTTTAGTAAATGAATGGAGAAACTGTAGTACATCCACACAACAGAATATTATTCAGAACTAAAAAGAAATGAGCTAGCAAGCCATAAAAAGACATAGAAGAAACAAACTTTTATAAGGAAGTAAAAGAAGCTAATCTGGAAAGATACAAAATTGCATACCAAATAAATGGCATTCTGAAAAAGGCAAAACTATATAACCAGTGAAACAAGCTGTTTTTTTCAAGAGACTGAGGGGAGGAAGGGATGAATAAGGGTACCACAGATTTTTGCCAATGGTGAACATACTCTGTAAGACAGTATAATGATGGACACTGGCTGGGGGTGCAGTTTACTGGTAGAGTACTTGCCTAGCATGCCCAAAGCGTGGGTTCAATTTCTGCCATTTCAAAAAAATGTTGTTACCATCTAAATTTAAGTTATGTTATAACTAAGATTTCCATCTCAAACCTGGTGTTTTCTTGGTTTTGTGTGTGTGTGTTTTTGTTTTTTTAAAACAGAGTCTCTATGTTGCTAGGGTTGTCTTGAACTCTTGGACACAAGTAATCCTCCAACTATGCATTCTAAGTAGCCAGACTAGAGGCACATGCCACTGTCCTTAGCGATCTCGAAATTTTAAATGATGCATATATAGATTTACCTAGTGTTATAGGCAGCTGAGTTAGATAGAAGTATTATAGGCAGTCAGACAGGGCCAGGCCCTTGAAGGAACCAACAAGAAAGACAAGATAAGATACCTGCGGGCCAGACCTCAAGACAAAGAACTAAACAAATGCACCCACATACCTCTTTAGGTATGAACATCAGGGATTGATACTCAAGTAACCACCACCTTCCAAAAGCCAGAAAGAGTCACTAGCCCAAAAAAAAGTCACTAGCCCAAAAAAAAAAGTCACTAGCCCAAACCCCTACAGGAAAAGCCCCTGTTCTGTATTCATGCCCGTTTGCTCTGTGACTCGCTTCCCCATTTGACCCCAGTTTACTCAATTTTACCTGAACTATTATATTTGTAATCTTATTGGCTGACCATAGTTTTGTCCCACCTCTTGCCCACCTTGTAATTTCCCATTTTCCCCCTATTTTGGACCCACCTCACCTCGGGGTTTTGCTCTACAAAGTCCCCGGGAAGGGCAAGGTCCTTGGGCAACCCACTCAGGCCCTCTTTTGTCCCTCCCTTGGACAGAAGCTTTCTTTCCCTCAATAAATATATTCTGCTCTTAACCTCCGTTGTTCCTAAAATTTATTCCTCGATTTTAGAGAACACGAACTTGTCCTAGTTACCGCTCAGGTTGGGAGTTTTTATTTTCCTGCATCACTAGGATAAGATTATACATCCATAGAAACAATCTAGTGTACCTAAGAACTGAAAGGAAATTTTAAAAAATCGTAAGTCTTTTGCTGAAAAATCCCTACTTACTCCTACAACGAAACATTCTTCTCTGAAAAACAGGTCTTTTCATAATTGTTAAACCATATTTCTAAAACTAAGTATTATTTTTAAAAAGTTTTTTCATCTTTTTTTAGGTTTAGATTACTTCTTTTTTTTTGTTTTTTGTTTGTTTGTTTGTTTGTTTTTCTCCGGTACCGGGAACCGAACTCACGACCTTGCTCTCGCCAGGCAGGCGCTTTGCCGCTGAGCTAAATCCCCAGCCCCTAGGTTTAGATTACTTCATTTACCACAGCATGTTTGTGGGCACATCAGAACTGTGAAATATTATTTAATTAATGCATATAATTACATTAGGATTACTATTTCTACTTTAAATTTTCTTGCCTTCAGAGACTTTAGATTTTGATTTTAATTGAAGTTAATATCAATTTTTTAACATCCAGGCTTGTATGAAAAGGCACAGTGTTTTATCAAAAACGAATTCCTTTCTGAGTCAAATCAAGCTCAATTTTGTTACTCCAGAATAATTTGCTCTTAACTGCTGATTTTATAATTGGTCATCTGTGAAAATTTAATCTATTATACAAAGCTTTTGTAAATAAGGAAGGGTTGAAGGGAGGGCAGGGGAATGGGAAAAAAAACGAACCAAGTTATACCATGTATAGGTACAAATTTCCTATGATGAATGTGATCACTATGCATATCAAAAATGTACCAATAAACTTAATTAAAAAATTTAATTTATTCTAATATGGAAGGAGGAACAGATATAAAAATTGTTAGGACACACTGAACAGCTGGTAGCAGTTTTAAGTGTTCCCTGTATTACTTTGTCATTGCAACCACCTCAACCACGAGTTTATATTTTTATGTGGGAAACTAATTTGGTAGCAGAAGACTATGGTGGCACTATGGTAAACATATTAAGAGGATGATTTCTCCACTTCAGATACCAAAATTATAGGAACAGCTTTAACTAGCAAAATTGTTCTGTATAATAATATCTTCCCACATATGTATCTTCAATTAAGCTTTTTTTCTTTTGAGACATGGTCTCAGTGTGTAGTTCAGGATGGCCTGGAATTCACAGCAATCCACCTGCCTCAGCAGTTGTGTGTACTGGGATTAAGGGAATGCCACCATGCCCAGCCTAAACTACACATCTTTTGGGGTTTTTGTTTTTTTGAGACAAGGTCTTATTATGTTCCAGGCTGACTTTAAAGACACTACATACCCCAAGCTGTTCTCAAACTTACAATCCTACTGACTCCCAAGTACAGAGTTCAAGTCCAGCCTGAACTACATAACAAGACCTTGTCCCAAAATTTAACAAAAAACATAAATTCCCAAGCCATAAACTCAAAGTGAAGGGTCCAAAGCCCAGAAACCTCTCAATCTAAGCTTGACAGATTGAAAACTAATATTTTTACATGGAATACAGTTCAAGATTGTACACTGCTCTTCCCCTTTCCCCTTCCTTATACCAAGTCACTACACTGTGTGCCCCAACTAAACAGTCCTCAGAGGCAGCTGGCTGGCTATTTGTCCAAGAATAAAAGCACTATAATGAAAGAACCAAACTAGAACAGGTATTGTCTTCTAGAATCTCTTCTAGAACTCTCCCTTCACTTAGTTCTTTCCATTAGACTGCTTCATGTGCATGTGCTGTGTACTCTTCACTATGTGATTCCTTTTCACACAGAACTAAGCTATCTCCTTCTAGAATAAAGCTCCTCTAATTATGAGAGGTGAAGTAGAGACTAGAGCATAAGTCAGAAAAAAGGAAACCTAGGAAAGGCTCATTAAGACCACATGCTAAAGTCAGGAGCGAAAGGAACCTTGGAAGCTCCCAGGGGAAAGCCTCTAGCTTAGGGAAAAGCATGAGCAATAAAGTAGCCACTGGAGAAGGGACAGGAGAACGGACACAAGGAGCAGGCGAGGGAAAGAGGGAAGGACAGAAGGAGGAAGGGAGGGAAAACCTTTTGGTTTGATGAGACAGGTTCTCCCTAAGTAGTTCAGGATGGCTTTGAACTCACTATTCAGTGCAAACTGGCCTTGAACTCACAGCAATTCTCCTGCCTCAGCCTCCCAAGTACTTGGAATTACACCACTAGGCCCTGTGGAAAAAAAACTTTTTACAGAGCAGTATTATCCCATTTTTTTCTGGAGAGCATTCATAATTAAGAACACACCTGAAATTGTTTCATGAGCCTTATCATATAATCACATAAGATTTCAAATTATGTATACTTAATTTATCTGTAATTACCAAAGGTAAGCAAGAACACAACATGGTAACAAACATTCTGATTTACTAGCAATGCATGGCATAATGCAAAATGTTAAAATACACAATATTAAAATCACTATTTTGAAAGGTCAAAAACAGTCAAGGGAATGCAGCTTAGTGGTACAGTGCTTGCCTAGCAGGCAAGAGGCCCTGGGATCAATCCTCCACACTGTGAAAGAGCAAGAAAAAATTGGAGAGAGAGAGAGGAGAGGGAAGGAAGGAGGGAAGGAGGGAAGGAAGGAAGGAGGGAGTGAGGGGAGGAGGGAAGGGAGGAAGAGAAGGAGAGAGGGAAGCAGGTAGGAAGGGAAGAAGGAAGGAAGGAAGGAAAGAAAAGAAGGGAAGGGCAGAACGGAGGGAGGGGAGAGGGAAGAAGGAAGGAAGAGAATGTAATACGTAGGCAGGCAAAAAGGCAAAAGTCAAATAAAAAAGCACCAAAGCAAGTGAAAGGAGAAAAGTCCAACAAACCACCTCCCAATGGTACATCAATTCAATATGCATCAATTACCCAAGACACATCATGTCATTTCTACTTCCCAAATTTCAACTCTCTGGCCTTTCCCACTGTTCTATTTAGGAGAACTATTACTTCATCTGAGCTATGTTATCTGCCTCAGGCCTCTTTGCTTTGAGAATGCTGCCTAACAACCAATCCTCCTCATTGGCAACTAAGTAATTTTCCCATTCACATCCCTATACAGGTTAAAATTAGAATATATTCATAATATTTCAATCACATGAACAGAGAAAACATTCATTTTCACACAAGTAGTGTGTCCATAATCAAATTAACTATGTTACATAACTTACATCATAGAACAGTTTTCTATCAGCAGCTAGACGTTTAGATGCCAGTGTCTTAGTAACATGATAGAAGGTAAGTAACGCTCTGTGCTGTCGAAGATCATCTTGCACTTTCACAGACTCTATAAGAGTGGGAATGAGTTCAGGCCACTGTCTAGGACAATCCAGTCTAGCAACTTTTGCAATCAGCACTGCAATCTGAGTTGCAATCTAGGAAAAAATTTAATCATCAGAAATAAATGTATGAAATCAAAGCAATGGATAAGGAATGCATTCTGTTAAAAATTACCTTTTTGGTTAATTATACATTGAACAAAAATGATTAAACTTTCATGTAACAAATATTTAAGACAGTGGTTCTCAAAAGTGCAAGACCATAAACCCCTAGTGCCTTTCACTAGCCCAAGGTCTTGCTTTTCCCTTTCAGTGTAAAGCTTGTTTTCTTCATATGCGTCTACCACAATAATGTATCACAACAGAGCACATGAAGAAGCAGAAATAAAATCTAGGTGTCTTCTTAATAGACATTAGAGATAAGCAAAAGTGCAAAACAAAGTCATTCTTCTAGTTAAATTTATCTTGTTTTGGAAAACAGCTATAACTGCTCATTTCAAAAAATGCTCTCTCAAAAACAAAGCAAACCAAAAAGCCAGGTGTGGTGGCACATGCCTGTAGTCCCAGCACTCGGCAGGTTGAGGCAGGAGGATCTTTGCAAGTTCAAGACCAGCCTGAGCTACAAAGCGAGCTCAAGGCCAGCCTAAACTGCATCATGAGACCCTGTCTCAAAAAGACAAAAACAAAACAAAAACAAAAAATGCTCTTTATGTTAACAAACTATGTATAGTTTTATTATTTTTAAAATTTATAACAAAATTTCTTAGTTTTCATTTCTAATACAGTAAATATCAACATATATAATCCTTTTAGGTCTTCAATTTTAGCAATAGAAAAAGATCTATAGCTATAAAGAATCACCAACTTAAAAGTAAAAGTTAATATCAAATATTGAATATTTATATAATATTTCTACAGTGTTTCATAAATACCGATCAGCAGAACACGTAGGCAATAGTTTTATCTCAATCACCCCAACCCCAACCCACCTAACTCAAACCCTAATAAAAATAACTCCATCCTCTATTTCACATCTTCTTTGTCAAAAAAAATGAACTGAGATCATCTAAACAGGTCAAAATAAAACCACATTAAACTACTGTCGAATACAATCTGCTTTAAAGTTGAAATAATCAAGTATAATAAATACTTGTTATCCTGGAAAAGTTAAGAGTTTTTATACCTATGAGCAAAACCAAACTTATTCTTAGAAAAAAATTTCACTATACGTGGGAAGCTGTTCTACTGTCTTCAGCCACCCAGTAATTTATTATGGCAGCCTTAGGAAACTAATATAACTAAAAATCTAGGGAGCTGGAACACAGGAGATTAAGGTCTCTGAGAGAAAGCAATGAATTATGATGAACCAATACATTTCACCTTTAGGCATCTACCCACAATAAATCAAGCTTCACTATAAAGTAGATCTCTATCTACCTGCCAAATAGTAGTGAGAATTGAAAATGACATAGGAAAAGATAAAAACCTGAAGCCATCCTGTATTTAAAAAAAAAGTTGGAAAACAGTAGATCATCTTTAAATCACTCAAATTAATTTCTACAGTCTCATACCTCCAGGCCTTCACCATATAATAAGCTGTTTCTTCCTATTTAGAAATAATAGTAATTTCTATGCAGTAGGATGATAATTATTTAAACATTTGTTTTTTCACTGGCTCACAAACAGAAGAAGCCAAAAAATATACAAGTATATTTTTAAATGATTTCTGTATTTCAAGTCATTAATAGCCAAATTTAACCAAAATTGCTAAAAGCTATAACTGGATCTCAAAATTTTAAAAACCAGAGGACAAGGTAAATATAGAAACATCACAAATGGAAATAATGTAGATTTTTAATGCCAAGAAACAGATTAGCTTGGGGAAAAAAAAACAAAAATTAAGAGAAGAGAAAGAATAATTAGCATTCATTCTCTCACTAACCTGGTTTATTGGTTCATTAAAGTTGGTGATGAGCCCTGCACGCAATGTAGATTTTTCCTCTTCTGAGAGAGCACTATAAAAAGATAAATGTATTACACAAAATAATGCCACCTAATAATGAATGCCGATGAGAACTACTACAAATTTTAACAATAAAAAGTCCTTTATGTATGTAATCCTGAATGTTTTTAGTAAATTGTTTCCATTACTTAAATACTGCCAGCTCAAGTGAGATACATAAAATTCCTTCATAAGCAGGAAACAGCACAGTAAACAATATAATACAAACCCAGGATAATTAATATTTTGATGTTCACTTTATTAATGTAAAATCAGGTGCCTACAAAAAATACAACAGTTTACAAAAAAAATCTGTATTAGTAAATACTATATTAGTCTTTCACTAGATACTTTTATAAAATCTGGGTGAGGTTGTTCTATGGGAAAAGGGACCTGGAATCAGAGAACACCTGGAATAGAGATCTCAGAAATCAATTAGTTTAGCTGGGCACAGTGTCAGACACCTGTAATCCCAGCACTTGGGGAGGCTAAAGCAGGAGGATCACAAGTTCAAGTCTCACTTCGGCAACTTTGGGAGTCTCTCTCAAAATAAATAAAGGGCTGGGGATGCAGCACAGTGCAAAGACCCTAGACTCAATCCCCAGTACAAAACTACATGGACTCAAAATTTTGTCTCCATATAGTTTTCACTCATGGGTACCTGAGTGAAGAGCAACAGAAACCACTACATTCTCTCACAGTTCAGGTGCCCTGCAGTCTAAAATTGAGGCATTTGCTCACTCTGAAGGCTCTGGGAAGAATTTTTTATGTCTTTCTATCTTCTTGACTGGGTGGCAATCCTAAGTGTTTCTTGGCTTGTAGACACATTACTCTAATCCAGTGATGGGAACCTTATATAGCTTTCAATGATAAGAAACAGCCCACTGTGGCATGCGTGCCACAGGTTCAGCACCACTGCTCTAATCTCTGCCTCCACAGTCACGAGACCTTTCTGAAGTCTTGTTTCTTACAAGCTCTTCTGTTGTCTTCAGCCATCCAGTATGTGGTCATTTATTACGGCAGCCTTAGGAAACTAATATAATTAAAATTTAGGTAGCCAGATCACAGGAGACTAAGGCCTCAGAAAGAAGGGAATGAATTATGATAAAACAATACATTTCCCCTTTGGGCATCTACCCACAAGAAATCAAGCTGAAAGCAACAATTTAAGAGATTAAAGAGCTACAAGGAGATTTGAGCAAATCGTATACTTCTAGAGAGACAAAAGCTGAAATTCAAAGTCCATCAAGAATATTTGGCACTGAGGATGGAACCCAGCACCCCCACACTAAGCAAAAACCCCATCCCAGCCCCCAAACTCATTTTTGAGACAGTGTCTCACTAAGTTGTCCAGGCTGGTGTGGAACTCCCAATCCTCCCACCACAGCCTCTTGTGTAGCTGGAATTACAGGCATGCACCACCATGCCCAGCAAGAAGGCAGTATACTGGTAAAAATCCAAGGTTTACAGTTGAAACCCTAAAAAGGCTATAACCTGAGATGAACAGTTAACCGGGGGGAAAAAAAAAAAAAAAAAAACACCAACCAAACTACATTAAGGTTGTTTTCTATTTATTTACCCAAACTCTCTGTGGAGGAAGATAACATAATTTAAAACCTCTCCAATTTTAACTATACTATGTTCAACATTCCAACAGAATTTACCAGCCATATCAACAAAAAAAGGACCAAAACCAAAACACAAATAGAAACAAGAGTACTGTACAGACACTGCAGTTATCAAAATCACTCTTAAAACATTTATGAATATGTTCAAGAGAAGACGCAAAAAACAGAAAGATGGAGACAGACAATAAGCATCTACTTTTTTCTAAATATCAAAGATAAATCCTGCCAGGTGTGGAGGCACACACCTGTAATTCCCATACTCAAGAGACTGAGGCAGGAAATCACCACAAGGTCCAGGCCAGTGGGCTACATAGTGTGTTCAAGAACAACCTGAACTACAAAGTGAGACCCTGTCTCACAAAAAAAGAAAAAAGATAAATCCTATAACTGATAAATATAATAAGTGTAATAAATGTAATGAAGAGTAAAATAGGTCAGGGGAAAATACCCCAGGTTGAAGAATTAGGGGGCAAAAAGCACTTTTGCTTTTGAGAGTCTACTGATTGCAAATGTACACTTAAAAAACAAGGTCCAGTTCTCCAAGCAGAAGACAAATCTTTTATATGCACTTTAAAGTTCTCAGACAAGTTTTCTCAAAAAGGGTCTTAAGGCTCAAAATATATACAGAGCTATAGTGCCATCTACTGGAAGGCAATGATTATAGTACTTATTATTATTTCCTAACAGATTCCAATGTCCTGTCTTCACTGCCATCAATTATACAACATGTAATTAAGCATTAAGAGAAAACTGCTCCCTTAACCATCTATAACATTTATAATTGGATCTAAGAGATCACAAGTATATACTAACCCATCCTGACCACAGGGGCAAAAATGCAGAGGACTCAGGACTTAACTTGGTTCAGAAATAAGTCAGGATTTCCTTTTCAATAGCATTTTTCAAACTCCTAACATCATACTTTAAAAGGGGGAAAAAAACTTTTGTTTAACATGACTTAATCATTCAGCATCATCTTCACAAGCAGAAGGGCAAAACACACACACAGAACAAAACCCAGGGAAAAAAAACAGGGCTCTGGTTGATTTGGAATTAACTATGTACAATACTTTTCATTAGTACTTAACTTTTAGAGGGTAGGATTCTTCCTCTAACTATCATTTACTTTGCAAATTTCCATGTCAGACTTGTGTAGAGAAACAAGCTAACCTCTGTTCTGTTCTAAGCGTACCATATATATGTACAGCTGAAGTAAGCACTAATCCATTCTTTTACATCCACAGATACATTCTATACCTCCTTCAATTTGTAAATTTTTATAGTGGGGAACTGATGGAACTTACTGAGGTGCTACACGTCTCCAGTAACGGTCAATTCCATGTTTAAAATACAGCACAGCAAGCCACCTGACATTTATATCCAAACTGTGGTTGGTAAAAATATTCTGTAAATTAAAAAACGTTAGAATTAATGTGTAGTATGTTAAAAGTGTAATTAATATATTACAATAAAGTATGGGTAGATTTTTTAATGTTCAAATTTTATCACTAGCTATATCATATTGATATTTTCTAAATATACAGTTTTACAATGCATATAAGAAAACTAACCTGTTCAGTGCCATGTTCACTTTTTAAGTGAGTAACAGATACATGGACATTCATTATATTATTCCACTTTTAAGTACATTTGCAAATTTCCCTAGTAAATGTTAAAATTGAAACCAGACATGTTGGTGCATACCACATATACAGTATCTTACACAAACATCTACATGCACAAATACAAGCACATATATATTTTCATAAATAAGCATACATTATAAAAATATATCAAGTTATAAATAAATATATAAATACCAAAAACAAAATATATAAATAAAAATTGGGAGAAATAAAGTTATTAATAATTCATATATCACATACAGAAAAATCAACAGTTAAGCAATGACTATTAGTTTTGTTTTATTTTGTTTTTTTGAGACAGGGTATTGGGGCCAGGGATATAGCTCAGCAGCATAAGTGCTTGCCTGGCAAGCCTGAGGTCATGAGTTCAATTCCCGGTACCAAAAAAAAAAAAAAAAGAGAGACAGGGTATTGCAATATAGTTCAGGCTGGGCTTGAATTTGTGGGGATCCTCCTGCCTCAGCAACCTGAGTGCTGGAATTACAGGCATGTGCCACCACTCCCAGCTCATGACTACTGTTTTAAAGTTCTAGCACTAACTAAAATAAGAAATTCCAAAAATGTTGTATTTGGGCCTGAAAACCCACAAGGCTAATTATACAGAATATTCATTTAAACAAGGAGATGGAAAATAAAGATACTGAAGAGATTTTTTTTATACCGTTTCAAAAACTTACATTCTGATGCTAGAATTAAATAAATAAGAGAATGGTATACTCTTTAGTCTTCTAAAAAAAAATCAATCCATTTTTTACCTTTTCGGTTTATTATATTCAGAACAAGTATGACTAAACAATTTCCCTCATAGTCATGATCAGTATCTTCTTAAATATAACAACTCAAGCTTTCTAGGCAAGAAGTTAAAATATATTATGTTCATTGCTATAATTTATTTGTTTTTGCAAGATACAGTAAACAATTTTGCTCCAAATTTGTGACCCAGTCATAAATCCTGGTTCAGTTCTGACCCAGCTGGTCACTGCACTGCCTTAACCAAAAACTAAATGCCAAACACTAACACAAGAATTGTCATTCTTTCAGAAGAAATGTATAGGGAGAGAAGGCCTTCAACACAAGAAGACTACTTTCCATCTGGCATTGAGAAAGTAATTTTACTTAACCAAAATTTTTAAATTCCAAGAAAGGTTTAGTTAAAACACATGTTGTTAATTAAATTATTACACTATTTTCCATAACACACAAGAAAAGATCAGATGTGTCAAGAAAATAAAATTCTTAGTGCTCACTTCGGCAACACATACATGAAGAAAATGAAATTTTTAGCTGGGAAAATAAAGTATTTTAAAAGAAAACAGATTAAGCAAAGTACACCACAACGTGCCACTGCAGCACATAGACCTAAGCAACTGTGCCAACATAAATTAATTAGGGTAGTGTGGAAACAAAACATGAAAGTGCACTACCACTAGTTCTGATGTCAGTATTAATGTGCTAAAATTGAAAATCATTACAGTGCACTGCCTTCTGAGCAGATACGAAATTATCCTGTTCAATTATTTACACAGAAGGAATGTTTTGAAAACGAAATCTTTATTCCATAAGTAATACAGCCAATGCAAATGACTTCTTTGCTAAATACTGTAATTAAATTATAGGGAAAAAATTCACATGTTGATTCATCAAGTATTTCTTAAACACACTCGATAAATAATACCTTAAATTAATAAGATAATGGTAGTGGTAATTGCAGCCAAACATTTGGATTAGTTTCCCCAAATTACCAATAAACGTAAGTTTTGAGTTGTATTTTGGTACTGCTGCTGGGAATCAAACCCAGAGTACTATGCATGCTAGGCAAATGCTCAACCACCAAGCTATATCCCTATCCCAAGCCTAGATTTTTAGAACAATTAAAACAATGGTGTTTCATTTTATCAAAAATTAAAGTAAGCTATTTTGGAACTACTTACCAGCAACACTGAATAGAAACCTGGCTGTGTCTCCCACTGTTTCAACTGCTCCTCAGCTGGCTTTAAAACAGCAGTGTCTTGACTGGTGGCCTGTGTTAAGACCTGAAGAACTACAGTGCTGGCACTATTAAGATCCATGGAAACCTAACAGTGACAAATTAACACACATGAATGTACATTATACATAATAAAAGTTAACAGAAAACAGTGGAGATAAAAGCTTTTATGTTCTGAAATACTCTATTATTTCAATACAGCTACTCTTTTGTGTTTCTAGTGATTGCTACCTTTTCTTGTCCACCATACTCTTATAATCCAATACTTCCAATATTTTTTATTCAAAATCTATTTCTGAAAGAAACTGTCTTATACTGTTCCATAAACAGAAGATAATAGTAAATTTGAGGGTGGGGGAATTCACAAGAAAAAGAAACAAAGTTTCTAAATTCTGGTTAAATACCATTAGTTACTGAGACTTGCTGGACTCTTTAAAGCCTGCAGATTCTACAATGAAAACTATAGAACTCTGAAAAAGGAAATCCAAAAGGACATTAGGAAATGGAAAGCTATCCCCTACCTCTGGATATGCAGAAATAACATACTTCTAAGGCTGACATACAGATTTAATGCAATCCCAGTCAATATACCAGCAGCATTCCTCACAGAACTAGAGAAAATAACCCTCAAATTCATATGAAACCAAAAAAGTTCCAGAATAGCAAAAGCAATCCTGGGTGACAAAAGCAAGGTGGGAAGCAGCACAATCCAGGCTTGAAGTTATATTACAAAGTCACAGTAATAAAAACAGCATAATACTGGCACAAAAACAACACGATTAATGGAACAGAATAGAGGATGAGGAAATCACCCCAGGCACATTCAACTATTTGATCTTTTAAAAAGGGGGCCAAGGGGCTGGGGATTTAGCTCAGTGGCAAAGCACCTGCCTGGCAAGCGCAAGGTCATGAGTTCGGTTCCTGGTACCGGAGAAAAACCAAAAAAAAAAAAAAGGGGGGGGGAACATATATCTGGAAGAAAGATGACCTCTTTAAGAACTGGTGGTGGGAAAATTGGTTATCTACATATGGAAGACAATTTAGAACTGTATCTCTCAACATGTACTAAACTAAAATCAAAATGAATCAATGATCTAAATGTTAAAACAGAAACAATCTGCTGGAAGATAAAATAGGTAAAACTCTTAAAAACATTCTGAACAGAAACTAAATGGCATAAGAAATCATACCAAGAATCAACAAATGGAATCATATCAAATCAAAATGTTCAGCACATCAAAAGAAATAACCAGCCGAATAAAGTTACAACCTAGGAAAAATGTTTCATTAGCTGTTCTCAGACAGAGAGCTAATATCTAGAATATACAGAGAACTCAAAAAAGTATAGATCCGGCTGTTTTTGCCATCTTCTGCCTCCTTGAACTGTTGCGCCTGTGCCATCCCACTCTGTGGAGCCGGCTGATTATGGGCTGAAACCTCCATAGACTTTCCATCTTGTTTCAACCACATGAGATCATGTGCTGAGCAGAAGAGTTCATTAAACTGGAATATGAATGACTATGTTGAACAGAATCTCCATTCAAACTTCCAAGGCATGAATACATGTGGCCAGCAATACCCAGAAATTGACACTAATCCATATTTTAAGTGGAGTTCAGTGGACATGATGAATAGAGGCAATGGCTTGAGAGGACCCTTTCACTGATGAGCTCTGAGCATCTCCCAGTTGATTCTCAAAACAAAAACTCTGAGGTACATTCTACAGCCTACTGAGGGGGGCAACACTGCAAAGCATGAGAAACAAAACCAAAAATAAAAGGGATCACATAGTACTATGAAAGCTAAGCACAATAAAAGAAACATCTCCGAGTGAAGAGGCAATCTACAAAATGATAAAAACATATGCAAATTCTACGTCTGACAAGGGGTTGATATCCAGAATATATGAAAAAAAAAAACAAAAACACAGTAGCAAAAAATCCCCCTCAAATATTGATTATAACTGAGCCATCCACATAAGTTGATATATATCAAAAAAAGATATACAAAAAGCTAATAGTGATGTTTAAAAAAAAGGTTAACATCAGCAATCATCAGGGAAATGCAAATCTAAATCACAATGAGCCGTCACCTCATTCTAGTAAGAATTATTGTTATCAAAAAGACTGAAGAAAAGAATTCTAGAATTTATATGGCACCAGAAGACACCCAGAATAGCCAAGGTAATCCTGAAAAAAGGAAGCAAAGTGGGAAGCATCACAATTCTGGATTTCAGTTATACTATGAAACTACAGCAACAAAACTGCATGTTCTGGTACCAAAAATAGGTATGTACATCAGTGAAACGAAATAGAAGACACAAAAACAATTCCATATACCTTCAGCCATCTGATTTTTGAGAGGAGGGTCAAAAATATACCTTAGAGTAAAGATAACTTGTTTAACAACTGGTGCTGGGAAAACTGATTATTTATGAGCAGAAAATTGAAACTAAATCCCTATCGCTGTGCTGTGTGTACTGAAACCAAACAAAAATGGACCAAAGACCTAGATATAAAAACTGAAATGTTGAAATTGCTAGAAGATAATATAGTGGAAACACTGGAAGCAAGTAAGCACAGGCAAAGAATTCTGTTCAGGAAATAACATCAAGAGACAACAAATGAGATTATATACAGTGAAAATGCTTCTGCACAGAGAGGGAAAAAATCAACAGGGTGAAAAGACAACCTATAGAAACGGAAAACTTGCTACACCTTTAATTGAAGAAAAAAGAACACCCCCTCCAAGAAAAAAAATGACCAATCAAAATATGAGCAAATGATCTGAATAGACAATTCTCCAGAGAATAACTACAATTGGCTAATAAGTATATTTTAAAAAGTTCATCATCTTTATCCTTTAGAGAAATGAAAATCAACTCTGAGATTCCATCTTAACCCAGTCAGAATGGCTTTTATTAAGAACACAGAAGTCAGGTATGGTGGTGTATACCTATAATCCCAGCACTTGGGAGGCTGAGGCAGGAGGATCGTTGTGAGTTTGAGACCCACCTGGGCTACAAAGTGAGCACAAGGCCAGCCTAAACTGCATAGCGAAACCCTGTCTCAAAAAGACACTCACACACACAAAAAAAGAACACAGAAAAGAAAAAATGCTTTCGAGGATATACAGAAAAAGGAATCCCACATTGTCGGTGAAAATGTAAATTAATACTACTCTGGAAAACGGTAGTTAGACAGCCCAAAAATAAAAATAGAAATTCCATTTGACCCAGGTCTATCTCTCCAGATTATCTTTCTGAAAAAGTTAAAGATACAGTGATACATGCAAACTGATGTGTACAGCAGCACAAATCACAATAGTCAAGCTCTGGAAAAAACCTAAATGTCTATCAATGACTAATGTTTGGCCCTAAAGAAGAATGAAAGCATGTCATTTGCAGGAACATTGATAGAACTTGAGACCATAATGTTAGGTGAGTAAGTCAGACACTGAAAGGTAAATATTACATGATTTATTTTACATGAGAAACTTTAAAAAATAAATTAAACAGTAAAATAAAGGAGATATGGCAAAAATATAAAAGGTAGAGTTTTTTTTACAGATAGGGTGGGTGTTCAAAAGAATGGGACAAAGGAGAGGTTGGCAAGGGGGTAAAGGGATCAAAAATGATCAGTATATGGTACATGTACGTATCAATTCACCTGAAAGAATGTAACTATTATACATCACAAACACATGAATTAAAAACAAGACTAATGACAATAAGTGCTGGTGGAGATGTGGAGAAAAGAGAACCCCTCCTTATCTTTTGTTCCATATTCATTCAACATTCAGCCATTCTGTTATCTTTGAGGTAATCTTTAATCTTAGGAAATTTTTCCAAGGAAGACGTATTAGATGACAAAACTGCATGACAGTGCATCTAATTTCTGTGAAATATTTTTCTCAAGTAAGAATTTCAATTTCAGATTAAATATAACTCCTCCGATAAGGTGAAAGTCATAAAAATCAGTCAGCATTCTCTTTTACTCTTTGAAAAATCAGTGGGACTCACTTTTATTTAGAAATATCTCTTGGTAGAGTTTTCCATTTACCAATCTGCAACCACTTAAAATTTTGTTTAGTAGTATAATCTCCCTGTGAAATTTATTCAAATAACAAGATACTTGAGTATCTCTCTATATAAGCACCATGCTTCCTTTGCCGTGAGGCTTAACCTAATCATCCACTACACAGTTCAGGTGCAACACCATAGGTTTTAATCCAGCTGCTCTAGATCCCATGAGTGGTTCTATTATTATCATGGATCCACAGTGAAAAGCTGCTCCTTGTATTCTCGTTAAGAATGCCATACAGCAGCTGCCACCAGATCTCCAGGTTAATCGGGCCTTTCCTTGAGAAAAATGTTTGAACTTCAAAGAGATTTTATTTGTATATAGTCTCATAGGCATTCATGAGCCTGATTTTTGTATTTACATACCCTTTCTACACTTTTTTATTTTACAGAAATTACTTAGGCACATTTTTAAGTAAACTGCATTAAGATGCTAATGTTCTTTATTTAATACATATATTTTAGGTAACATCATGGGACATAAGATTCTATTTGACTAGGCTCATGATTATATGTTTTTTGAATTTTTTAATGGTATTCTTCAACCACATGATAGCCAATAGTTGAACTCATACTTCATATTTTATCCTATTTATATACATTTTCTTCCTCACAGAGATTAAAGTTGTATCAAAAAATGAAACTGAAAAAATTAGAACCAAGGTAAAGAGAAAACTATAAATCTGTCATTCACAATGACTAGACAGATACTAGGACTATAGTGTTATTAAAGCTCAAAAGAAAAATGTTTCAAGGAGGAAAGAAGAGCAAACTTCATCAAATTCTTCCATGATTCCTAATAAGATGACAACAGAGACAAGTTCCTTGGATTTATCATCCTGGCGTGTGTAAGTGACCTCAAAAAGGGCAGCTTAAACGGCATCATGGGTCATCCTTGCAGATGAAGCCAGGCTGAAGAGTAAATAACTAAGAAAGGATATACAAAAAACGTGGGAAAATATTTTGATAAGGTTTGCTTAAAACATGGTTTGAGAGATATAGGGATA